TATATCAAGTTTACTTTGTCTTAATAGTTGACTTGAGTGTAATATTCCTATAAATAATTTACACATTAATATGTTTACAAAATATCGGCAGTTGGATAGAAAATTATAAGTTATGACTTACGCCTAGGTATTATATTTTATCATACATTTAAAATGCATTCTTTTTTTACTAATATTATTATATTTTATAATTAAAATATGTATGTAATTTACATACATATTTTAGATTCTAAGCGGAGCGATGAATGTTTTGAACTTACAATGCTGTGTGTATACGAAAATTTTTTCGATTTTCGACTTCTGTAGTTCTTCTGGTTGGAAAGTGAATCATGTTGGTGCTTGGAGAGGTCAAATTTTAAAATTTTCAGTAGTTCTTAAAATCAAAGGGAAAAACAAAAAAAAATTAAGGAAAAACGGAAATTTTTACGCATTTTAGAAAAAAATGATTTTAGAAATTGGTGTAACTCTATAAAAAATTACCATAGAGAGAATTTTCACTGGATGTTTACACTGGCATTTTCTATATGAATATAATTGATACAATTTTCAGTTAAAAAATATTAAAAATACATATTCAACATTTTTTTAATAATCATTGTAAATTCAAATTTGGATGTAATAAATAACCAAAAATAATAATTTTAGCTATATTAGTATAAATATTAGAAATATGTTTTTCGTATACAATGATATTATATCATTGAATTCAAATGTAATACAAAATACCATCCATTACAGTAACCAACTTGTAAACTACTTTACAGCAGAGCAACATCTACTTACCCGCTTTTTCATATTTAATATTGTTATATATTTTATATAAGTATTTACTAAATGAACTGGAGTTTTCAATTTTTTCCCACCACAGTTAAACACAATACGAATATTATTTAGCGTTTCCAATTTTGATATAATGTCACACTAGGTAAGTAATTAGAATGTCACACAATACTGCATTGTTCATATAGTAAACTTTGTAGTTAACAAAAGCTTTTAAGTCATAACAATATTATTCAATACTAATCCGAGAGTGAGATCAAATAAATTCAACACTTCACAAATCTGATGAATGAACACAATAAAAAAAATTCGCATGACCTAAAATGGTCTTCAATTCATATTATATTAAATCTTCTTTTCTTTTAATACCGTAAAAATGCTGATATCTATAAATCTTTGTAAAATTTATTAATATTTTTATTTATTTATTTTTCTTCTATAGCAACAGCTTTTCTTCCATCTCACTTGGTACGTTTGTTTGAACKTTGAAAACTATTATAATATAAACAGATTTTTAATAATAATGATGCAGAAAATCTCATCTCCTTGTTAAAAGTGATGTTTATACCAAAGCATGGAGGGGAATAGATGACAAATAAATTATGTAAAATTAAAATATTATTTTATTGAATAAAAATTCTCAACAAAACCAAGCGTAATGACGTTCATATTATTGATAAAAATATATTTACTAACACTTAAGAAGTTCTTAAACGACCAAAAAATAAAAACTGGTATGGTATATTTGTATCTCGTTCAGGCGAGAAATCCTGTGTGAGGTGTATTTCATATGTTTAAGCTATTAATGGTGTATAATATATTAAACAAGCCGTACAAATTTATAAATAAAGTATTCAGCAAAGACCAACATAAAGATTTACTAAATATGTTAATATTTGAATTTAATAAATTCATCACTACCCAGTATTACCCACACATATTTTGCACTGCTAAAAATAATCAAGTTCATAAATGCTCATGATCAAATATTAATATTGGAAAGAGAGATGTTTTTACTTTATCKATTATAACATTATAAACTATATTACTACCGTATGGCTACTGTGTTTTGAGTAATATAGAGACTTATAATGTTAGTATAGCCAAAAAATGTTTAAAAATACTACACAGTTTTTTAAAGAAAAAAAAAACTAAACTTATTGCATTTTCTAATCTTTCACCAAAAAATAGATATAAAATAGATCATAAAAACTATTACTACTCTCATACCTAGTCAGAAATTATAATTGCATTAAGTCGTTAAAGACATGAATTCCACAAACTAGGTTTACTATCCTTATATAGTACTTTTTATGTACTTTTATGTACCTACCTACCTACTATTATAGGTAAGTCCCTAATGATAATATACTATACCGGAAAAACAGAAGAATGCCATGTAGTGGTATACCTACTTGACTATACAGATCACATCTTAAATAACGTTTAAAAATACGTATTATAACATTAATTGTCTCATACAATATATTTAAAATGCAGTACAATATTACTATATTTTATTATACAGTTTAATAATATAGATAATAGGTAATGACGATAATTGAAAGATTACTTTATTCGTTTTCTAAACTCGTTACCTAATTGGTTAATAAATTATAAATAACAATATAGCAATAACTTAATAACGTACCACGTACACCATACCTCCATAATAAACACGGTATATTGTTATAATTTTGAAATACAACTTTTATGCAAACTGTCAAAGTAAAATGTAACGTTTATATTACACACTATTATGTTAGCTATACTATCAGAAATAACTTGGCATCCTTATTGTGTGTGCAAAGTTTAAAATATATTATCAAATCTTCTCACTAGTCGATATTTCGACACACAATGTTAGCAATTTTAGTTTGTCATATTAATACTTTAAGCAGTTTAAACTTTTAACATGGTATACCTACCTAGTATTTCGTAGTAAATACAATAACAAGACCAGCACCAGTGGGGAAAATATGGAAATTCTGTCCCGAATTTATTGCCACCAATATTCACTATCTAGCAAAACTGACTTCTGGGATATAAATCATTTATCGATTTAATTACTATAAATATTTCAGAATACAGTCGTAAGCAAACAATGTTATTATTTTGTATGATTATTAAAAATTGCTTGTATTAATGATATAATGGACCAAAACTGTTCGATAATGTATAACATGATATTATAATATATTATACATGTTATGTATTCTTTTATCTGTTAAGGCTTCAACAATCGATAGTTATCAGCTTACTTTTGAATTAAATAATGCACAGATGCTGGATGATTATAGATAATTGTACATATATTACATTACTATATTATAAATTTAAACGCGACTTATAACGTTAACATTATTCTTATAATGTACGAACGCCGTTGCATATTTTACTCAATATGAATAATTCGATTTTTAACGTGATGGTAGTGGCTTCTTTCTTAACAGACAGTGTTTAAAACAAAAATACTGAATAAAAATAAGTAGGTATTGAATTAACGAGTACTACGGAGACGCTAAACCTTTTTATTCAAGACTTGTCTCTAGCGAAGGAGTCTCGGATATATATTATATATATGTTCGCGTGAATTTCTGGAGAACTATATACTAAAAGACACATTACCATTTCGGCTTTTGGCCGTAAACAGGGTAGTAAATGTTTAAATTATTCGATGTTATTCACTCACATGAACATAAAACTCTAGTTTGTTCGGATGTCCTGGACGCGGTGGGTGCCGCCACCCACCTCCGTCGCACATAATTCGTTCGCCGAGAAACGTTTCCGTTGCTGTAGTCTCGACGACCGTTTGCACTGAGGCAAGCAACTTGAAGACGCACGACGGCGACGCTGTTGTCGTTCCGGCGGAACGTTTTGTGCAGACCGGAGGGATGAAATTAAAATTTACTGTGATGTGTCCTGTGCGTCATCACTATAGCAATATAATATACGTATATACTTCATATTATATTATTTAGAGAAGTTTAAACGCATTGAACGAAAAATGTAACTCTGTAGCTGTATATTGTACCTACTACTGGCTGTATCAGTAAAGGGACATCTGAGTTTAATTTGTCAACTTAAATTGCATAACTATTTAAAATACTTAAATACTTTTAACGTGAAATCGATTCGAATATTCAAAATCGATTGCTTGTTTACCACATATTATGTATATCAGTCATATACTAAAATATATGTATATTTTGTTTCGTATTTATTATTATTAATATGAATATCCGTTCATTTTCCTTCATCAAATTCTATAAACTGATTTTTATTTTAATACATTCCTATTTAATATAATATAAATTCGTTTGCAGTAGCTTGGTATTTCGTTTGTAGTACTTTATTTTGTACACAAAATCAATCATTTTCTGTTTACGTTTACGTTTCACCTTTCAAGAATATTAATTGAAAACAAAATCTCAATAGGTATTATACACATTTTAATATTTCAGTTTTTTTATACCGAGTTAAAACCCATATTTAATAATGTATAAGTAGGTATCTCCTTGTTTCAAAATAATTTCGTAAATGTATAAAAAAAAATAATACTAATAACACAGAAACAACTATAGAGATATATATTGTAAGTATGATGTATATTTTAGGTCAAAGTGTATAAACGGACATTGTAGTACAATGCCCGGACAATGTGTACAATGCCCAATTTCAATGGACAATGTGGAAAATGTTACACTTTGCCAGGGCATTGTACAGAATAACCAGAGCACAGTGGGCAATTACAATTAATTAATTAAAAATGTATAAAACAATTTTTGTTATCTTAATAATTTACAATAATTTATTTTATGAATATTAACCAATTTTTAAAAATTTTTTTTTTGCAACTTAAGCTATCAAGACATTTAGAAGTACATAGTTTACCTGCAGCCCTACACTTACATTTATTTGTCTTGCATTGCTGTTTACAGTTACACTGATCATATCCTTGACTGCCAAGGTTAGACAATTTTCTAGCCGCTTCTCTTAATGATATCGGAGATGTTGTTGATATACTGTTTCAATCTGGACAAATGACTCTTTGCATATTTCAAATTGATTTCTAGCGTAAAGTTATTCAATTTCACCTTCAGTGGTACCAATTTCATAATTATTGTTTTTTACTGAAAAAAATCAGGTTTTAGTTATAACATAATAAAAAAATAAAAATCATTATAAAAATTACCAGACATAATGACTCCTAAAATAGATCACAGATCACTCCATGCTTTATCAACATCAGGTATTCTAATTTTAATACTTAGGCCAATTTTTCCTTCACGAAGTTGATTTTCAGAGTTAGTCTTCATTTTTGAGGATTGGACTTTTAAATTATGCAATGATTCGCTTCTTTTTTCTATGTTAGTCTCCTGTCTTGATTGTATAATAATATCAGATCGTTCTTCGTTAACATCAATATTTTCTTCAGCAGATGTATCAACAGATTTTTCTTTAGGTTGTATCTCAGTTTTTTTTTCATGATTGGTATTAATAGAATTCAGCGTGGTTTCTAAATCATCATTAGTCTTAAGCTTATGTATAATACTTTCTAGTAGAGTAGTAGATTTAAAGCCTATTTTTGCTCGGGTACCAAATATAGCCTCATAAGGAGAACACTTAATTCCGTGATATAATAAACTTCTATTTTTCATAAATTGAATGAATTTAAGTCCCTCACTCCATTTATTGGTTTTATTATCTGTTAACCAGATGTCAAGCATATTTTCTACATCCTAGTTAGCCCTTTCGACAGAACCCTGGCTTTTTGAATGCCGTGGCTTACCATGGCACGATTTTCAGTTCTTCGCACAGACTACATAACTCTTCAATAACCTTGTTAACAAATTCTCTACCGTTATCACTCTGTAAGATGCACGGAGCTCCAAATGTAGTAAAAATATCAAGTAATATATAGGCAATTTCTTCGGCGCGTTTGTGTGTTAATGGTTTAAGTAAAACATACTTCGTTAGGTGATCTTAATAAAATAAAATAAATCAATAATTCCCATCAGGTTGAGATTGCATATCAATCAAATCTACATGACAATAAGTATTCATTTCTGAAGAAATAATTGGTTTAACAACCCAAGCCCTTGCCCTTTTTCCACCGTCTTATCTTTTCTCTGACATAATTCCCATAGGTTTAAATATATCATTAAACATTCCCTAGTTCAGCCAACCCACCAAGGATCAGGACAGTGCATCAGCCAACCAGCCAAGGATCAGGACAGTGCATCAGCCAACCCACCAGTGATCGGGACAGTGAAATAAACAACTAGCCAAAGATCAGGACAGTGAATCAACCAACCCACCAGTGATCGGGACAGTGAAATAAACAACCAGCCAAGGATCAGGACAGTGAAACAAACAACCAGCTAAGGATCAGGACAGTGAATCAACCAACCCACCAGTGATCGGGACAGTGCATCAGCCAACCCACCAGTGATCGGGACAGTGAAACAAACAACCAGCCAAGGATCAGGACAGTGCATCAGCCAACCCATCAAGGATCAGGACAGTGAAACAAACAACAAGCCAAGGATCAGGACAGTGAAACGGACAACTACCCAGTGATATCAAGACCGTGAAGAAGGTACCAGCAGCGACCGTGAGTAAAAAAAAATACTAAAAGATAGAACAAATCTTGTACATCTTGAAACCCCTAATCTTTGTGATCCCCTAATTTTATATCTATCTGTACAACCCTCACGGGTTAAATGATTTATTGTAATATTATAAAATAATAATAAAACAAGTTAACAAACAAAAAAAGAAGAGTTGAGTTTTGTTACACAGCTTCACCCAAATATGATGAGCACTGTGCACAATGCACGATGCCCAAATTATACACTTCGGCCGTAACATAATATATGTAGGTTATACCTACTAACCGATCGATAAAACTTTATAKATAGTACGTTAAAAAACCGTTTATTTTAATAATGAAATGCCAACAACAAATCATTGATACCCATTGATGGTTATTCAAATATTCAGTATATTATCATGCTAATTAATTTAAAAGTCAGTAACCTCATAATTTATGATGTAACGCGAATATTTTAGTGCCGTTTTTTMAATGTAACATACATGATGTATATTACAATATTATACATATAATATATTTAATAATCGGTGTATGATGTTCAAAACTTATCTTAACTTTTCCGTTACCTGGAATGAAAATTCTGATTTGCAAAAGTATAGTCGCGGTAGATCGCGGACCTCGTGCTGTTTGTACGTAAGTGTATAATTTAACTCTAAAGTATTAAAATTATACCAAGCTTGTCATTTGTACTTAATTACACTAACGGTGGATTAATATAATCAATTAATACAAAATCCTTAATTATGCTAGCAGTATGTTTTTATACATATAGATAGATTAAAGTAAGTAACCTAACCTAAGAAAGTGATAGCCACTTTCTTCGTCGAATTTTTCATTTTGATAATGCTAATACGCATGTGCATATTGAGAGAGACAGCTCTCTCTGTCTGATGCTTATAAAAATTTAGCTAACACAATGCGCAATGCGCATTAAAATAAAAATACGACGAAAAAAAGCGGTGAATACAACACAATATATAAATTGAAATAGACTGCCAACTAATAAAACTCATATACGTATATTTTATACTAAACTTTAAAAAAATACGTTTTTTGAAAAGTAATTTTTATTATTTTTCAAAAATGCTACATAACTAATGATTAACCAATATTTCTTTATAAACAATATTATTAGTTTTTTCACCAAGGGCATATATGTATAAGTTTTTTTCTGAGCTTACACGGGAGCAGACAACATAAAATTGTCCATGAGTGAAGCAGGGATCGCTGATRTCAATTCCTGCAACTTTCATTGTCTGTCCTTGTGCCTTATTAATTGACATAGCGAAACAAAGTTTAATAGGAAATTGGACACGTTTAAATTCGAATGGATACTCGTTTGTTATCATTGGTATTMTTGGGATATATACAATTTGACCACTCGCTGAGCTGGTAAGAATTTCAGCTTCAATAAGGTTTTTTTTTTCAAAGATAATTTTAATCTTGTTCCATTGCACAATTTGGGAGCATTTAAATTTCGCATGAGAATAATAGGCACACCAATTTTTAAATCAAGTTTGTGTGGGGAGGGGGGACCTGATGGATTTAATGAGTTAAGGAATTCAGTCGGGATATCTATAGCTTCATCTTGATTAGTAAGTGTATCTATAGAAGTATAGATTTTTTTATCAGCTTCGAACATGGAAAGAACTTTTTCGTTTATGATGTTGACGGTATCATTTTTAGGGGGAAAAATTGCACGTTCACGGTGTCATTCATTAGATTTATTGGAAAGATGAGAAATTTCAGGATAAACTTTGTTGATTAAGTTATTTTGATCAAGAACCGAAATTTCAAAACCCATAATGCTTGCCATGTTTCCAAGTCTACGTAACAGGCCATTATTTATGATAATTGATAACTCCTTTATTTATTAAGTTAGAGAATCAATCAAATGACATAAATCTTCTCCGTAATGAGTTCCTTAATTTAAAAAAAAAAAATCATAACGATCGGTTTAGTAGATTTCGAGAATATAGGCCTCAAAGGTTTTCATTTTCACATTTATATAATAGAAAATTAAGATAAAAATACGGCGAGTTAACCATTAACACACTGTATGAATATTATTTTATTTAAAGCTTATTATTATCATGTGGTCAACCCTTTGAAGTAATATATAGACCTAAAGTGGTCTTTAGGGTCAACAATTGTGAAGTGAAAGACACTACCGCCCCGCAAAGACGATATTTGATTTAATTGCTGTATAAAATGAGCTAAGATCTTGACTATATATAAGCTTTAATCAAAGTATCACTCAAATATTATGATTAAAGTGATAAGTGATATGAAATGTCAATGACTGTAAAGTGCTTTCAAATCGAAATACGTGAATGCATTTATTTTGTAAGCTTGTAAATGTTAACATTTGAATAACTGCTTAACTAATACAAATATGTTGCTGGGGATTAAATAACCACTTCGTGTATTCGATAAGTTTATGGCTAAGTACTCACTATTAAACTTTGCGAGGACTGGACTTCGTCGGGGAACTTACTTACTACTAGAGTGGACATTTGCAGACTCCCGAGTTCCCCAATTTTTGTATATGGCTATTGTAAAATGTTAATAAATTCCAACTGTTTTCATTAAAATTTCGTTAAACGGTGAAAAAGTCTCACTGAAAATACTAAAATAGTTAAACCAGAAAAACACTGTCGATGGAATTGTTATTTAATTATTGTAATATTATTTCATGTAATTTTATAATTGATATGTTTAATATATTATAGTTAATAAAATATAATAATTTATAATATAATAATTCATAAAAAAACCATAACTGATTAACAGTATTTAAACATATGTATTAGTCTAATCGAAACTGTAATTAGATAAAATAAGTAAACATTTAGTAATACAAGTACTTTTTTAGTACTAAAATAAAATTGTTACAATAGGTAGGTACATATTATATTTTATCAACATTTTTATTATGTAAAATATTTGATATTTAAATGCTGCATAGTACCTATAACAAAATCCATAAAATAAATATAATGAGCTATGGAATATAATAGACCTATTGGCTATTACTCACAAAAAAAAAAAAAATAATAATCAAAGCGTAACTGGTACAGCTATTTATTTTTTTATTGATCAAAAGAACTCGGCCGCTATATGGCCGTTAGTTAAAAATTTGCAATTTAAGTAGGTGGGTATTTATAGTTTTTAAAAATATTTTTTTTATAGAGTACAAAATTAAAGATAAAAAAGAGGCTACATTGTATATACAGGTAGTGACATATTTTTAAATTAAATTGTAGAGGACTGTTGCTTTTAAAAATTGCAACGCCTTCCGATTCTCCTCGGTGTTGGGTCCCAGTTCAACGCCCATGCTATCTATCCCGATCATTTGTCGATGTTGTTCGAGTTTGGAACATTGAAACATTCAACTATTATGTGTTTTATAGTTAGTTGGACACCGCAGACTTCCTATGCATTAAGTAATCTTTCGTATGTCCAACTCTCAATCGGTTTAGTACTGATTCTTCTTTTCTTTTTAATGGTACAGCTATTATGTTACTATTAAATCGAAATTTAGTTTAATAGTTAATATTGTAAATATTAACAGTTTTGTAAACTTTTCACAAGTTATTTTCTATTCTCCAATTGCTTTGACCTTATAATAAATATGTGTTATTTTGGACCTTAATTTTCAATATGGTATGCAAGGTTTTACTTGTACTGTCAATACTAATACTGTACCCACATAATACTATATGTGAATCACTTGTCGATTTAAATTGGGTTTAATGGGAAAATGAATCCGCCAAACGAATTTTTGAAAACAATATACCTAACGCCCATGTGCTAATTCCTTCAAAAAGGAAGGTCTGCAATAGATTATTATTTTTTTTTACTTCAGGAACATATTTGTTTTCTAAAATGTGTATCAAATATCAATTGTTCGCGAATAAAGTATATCATATCATATTAATAAACATCAAGGATCTATTTACGTTAGAAGGACGACTAATGTAGTAGGTATGTAGTAATAACGGAGTATCTAGAATATTCTTTTGTCAACGTGTAGGTACCGTTTAGCGGCGTCATGTGAACCGTGCATAATGGAACGTCTTAAATAACAATTTAAAATTCGAACTACGGTTT